CCGCGCTGCGACGCGCTGTTGCCCTGTTGGACTGCAGCGAGGTCGCGGCCTCAGCGCGCGGGAAAGAGCGGCGTTGGTGCCGTCTGGCTGGGCGCCGCGCGCGCCTTTCCATGCTGCGGTCGTCTGGCGCTGCTGGGGCAGGGCCAATCCCTTCGCCTGGAGGCTGCAAGGGCGACTGTATCCGCGGCAGGAGCGAGCCCCGCGCCTGGCCCTCCATTCTGCGTGGGCGGGGCCACTTGCTCGGCGCCGCTGGGGCCCGGTCGGAATTACGCGGCGCGTAATCGTGGCAGGCCCTCCGAGCCGAACGCGTCCAAGCCTGCCTCGGCGAAGCCGTCGGCGTCGTTCGGCGCCCGCCAGCCCACCAGCGCCGCGGCTGTCGTAGAAGGAGTCCATCGACCCCGTGGGGCCGAGCAGGTCATTTTCGTCGCGCGTATCGATATCCGCGAGCTCTTGGCCGACATGTTGGCTGAGGTCGCGGGCCGCTGCGTCGGCGGCCCCAGCGCTCTGCGCGGGGGGCTCGACGCGCGCGAGCTCGGCCTGCGCGCGCCCCGCCCAGCGGCGCGGCAGGGGCGGGGCCAGGTGCCGCAAGTCGTAGATGTTCGCGGCTGCGAATGGGAAGGCGACGGCCAGGTCGCGGAGGCGGTTGGCCACGTGGTCGCGTCAACCGCGTCATGAGGGGAGTCGCGCTCAACGACGGGGGCCAACGCGTCGGCCTCCCGGTTGAATCACTCGGCCCCTTCACGACGCAGCGGCTTTGAACCCGAACGTCCGCGCGCGGCCCCACGGGCGCAGCGCTGCCGTCGAGGGTCGCGAGAAAGCTATCGACGACGGTCTGGCTGTCGACACAGACGTGCGCGGGGAGCTCCGCGACGGCGGCCAGGCGCCGCAAAGTCTGGGTCTCGCCGCGCTGGGCCCCCCGCGCCGACTCGCGGGCGCGGAACAGCCCGGGCCGCCAAACCCAGGGGCGCCTTCTGCGACGACGTGCGCTCGCCAATAGCAAGTGGCGGGGTCGGCGCGCCCGCGGCGCGCGCCCGGGGCGCCGTCGCCCTCGGGCGGCGCGCGCGCTCGCGGCCGCGCGGCGTCTCGCACGAGAGGCGCCCGGAAGTCAGGGCGCGCCCCCACAAGACCGCGGCGCCGGGCGCGCGGCGGGAGGCGGCCCCGCCCCTAGGGGCGCGCGTCGAGCAAGGCCGCTGGGCGACTCCGGGCGAGCAGCGATGGACCGCGCGCTCTTCCACATGTCCTGCCTGGTCGAATCCTCTGCCTTCGCGCGCGCCTGGGGGCCCCCCTGCTGCTCGCGGTCGCCGCTCGCCGGAAGTTGGCGGGGACCGACCCCCGCCGCCGAGCTTGGTCATCGCTCCCGCGGCGCGAGCCGGCCACTCGGCGACGCGCGCGCCCAGCCCTTCGCAGGGCCTGGGTCGCGGCGCGCGGCGGGCGCGCGTCGCTGGAAGGCCCGTCTCTGCGAGGCGCGCAGCGCGCGCGCCGGGCAGCCGGCGCGGGGGGGGCGCCACTTGTGAGCGGCGCCGAATGGTCCCCCCTAAGTTCGCCAAGGAGAGCCTCCAGTCGAGCTGACTCAGCGCCTGCCAGAGCCGCCCGACGGGGCCGCCGCCGTCAACGCGCTGCGCGGCATCGCGGAAAAAGGCCGCCGAACGTGCGAGCCCGGGGTCTCGCGCAGCGGCTTGCGCCGCAAAAGGCAGCCGGCGCGCAGAACCGCTGCCGGCGGCGCGAAGAAAGCCATTTCGCTTTCCCCGGCGCGCACTGGGCTGGCGCGTCCGCGCCCGCGGGGCAGAAGCTGGCCGCGCGTGGCCGCGCGTGGCCGCGCCGCGGCGGACTTGTCCTCTGGGGCGAGCGGGGCGAGCGTCAACCGCCGGATGCGGCGGGCCGCGCTGCAGGCTCGCGCGCGCAGCGGGCGCTCCTTGCCCAGATCGGCGCGGAGGCCTGCGCGGCAGAGGCGCTCGGGCGACTTGCAGTTCACCCTATCGCTTCCGTCGCGCGCGCATGCACCGCGGAGCCTCCCAGCTCCCTGTTTCGGCGTCGAACGCGGGGTGGCGTTGCGGCGCCCGGGCGCGGGTAGCCGCCCGGTCGCAGCGGGCCAGCTGAGCGCCGGCGCCAGTGGCCCCCGCGCCGCGGCCGCTTCCTGCGCGGGGGCCGGCAGGGCGAGCTTGCGGAGCTGGCGCCGCCGCTGGCCCAGGGCTACCTACAGGCGGTCGACAGCGCCGCGGCGGGCCAGCGCGCGGCTCCGCGCCCCCCAGTGCGCGGCGTGATATCACGGGGCCGCGCGGCAGGCGCGAGCGGCCTGGTTGTCCGGGCCGAACGTAACGGCGCCTTTTCCTAAAATGCCCCAGCCGCGACGACGGTCGCGATTGGCCCTTGGTCTCGGTTCCGTCTGCGGCCGCGGGTGCCCGCGCGACGCCGCCCGCCGCGGCGCTGGGCAGCGACTTGGATGCCTTTGCGATGGCGAGATGAAGCTCGCGAGTGAAATCCCAGAGGACGTGCAAAAACCTCAGCGTTCCAGGCTACGAGATCAGACGCCGTTCTGGCCCGCCTCTCGGTTGTATCCTGAGCGCACGGCCATGCCAGACAGTACTTGGCTGTGGCCAGCGCGACCTTCGCAATGCTGGGTCCATCGCCACTGCGGTGGCGACGGCAGTTCCCCGTCTCGCGCGGGCGACGACGATCTGGCCGCCCTGAGCCGCCCCCGCGGCCCGGTGCCGGGCAGCCGCGGCGCAAGCCTCCGCGGCGCGGCCCACTGATAGCACGGGGCAGCGCGGCGCCCGGCGCTGGCCCCAACGGGCGACGCGCCCCCACGGAAGCCCAGGTCGAAGGCGGCCCCTCCCATGTCCGACGACGTCCTGCTGCGCGGCCTCGAAGATCGCATCGAGGCGCCCCCGTGGCGGGCCAGCCGCGCTTGCGCCTCCATGACGACGAGCTGCAAGGGATGGGTTTTGGAGACAGCCTGGCTTGCGTCCTGAAGTTTGTCGTCCGGCGCCTGCTTGTCGGAGTTACTATTGGAGGCTTTCCACCGCTGGCTCGTGTCGGTCTGCTTTTGAACTTTCTCCTGGGCCTTGTGGCGGCAGCTGTTGCTTGGGGCGGCCTCCGATGAGTGTTTCGTGGAGAAGGCGCTCATTTCGGCCAACGCTGCCGCGGTGCTGGCCTCGTGGAAGGCGACGCGCAACCACGCAACAGCGGAACGAGCCTAACTTTGGCAACATTCTGGAGGTAACGCGCCTCTTGGTTGCCCAGCTGGTAGATGCGCCATCTACGTGGCTGGATGGAAACTTGGCGTCTTCGGCGCTGCGACGAACCAGCGGGATGGCCATTGCTCTTTGTTGCCGTGCGCGACGTTTGGTGCCTTATGTTGACTGTCGCAAGCGGCTGCGGACAGAACGGTGCAACTTTTGAACTCTCACGCGTCGTTTCCGTGCCTTGCACGTCCCGATAATGCGCTGTTCCGTTCCTGCTCACACGCACGCGCACGGAAAAAACACACACCACACCGATGACTTCGTCATCGCTCCAAGGACCCAACTTCACTGATAGAGCACATAGATCGTGGCGGAAAGCGGAAGGCCCCAAGACGCTGAGCGCCATCGGGGCTGTCTTCCGTCTCATGGCGGAGGAAAACGATTCTCTCGTAGCTCTCGCATCCATGCTTGCGGCCGAGGTGCATCGCCGCAGGGACGGTAGTGACCTGAATCGAAGGCGCTGCGGGGAGGGTCTTCGGCGCCCGTCATCCCATTATGCGGGGCGGTGGCGGTCGAGGGCTTGCCCAAGCCGTTCGTTGTCTTTGAAGCGCTCGAAACGCACACGAGGCCAACTTACCGATTTATAATCGCGCAAGCACGAACAAGTTTGGTTATGAGGCTTCTCGGGATGCGGGCGACGTTCCTGGCACAACTGATACCAGGAGACGCGATCGAACTCGCTGTAGGCCGCCAGAGTGATGTCCGAGCAAGCTTTGGCTAGTACCGCGACGCACGCATCTCGGCGAGCCATCTCGGAATCTGGCTTGGCAGCGCGAGCTTTGAAGGCGGCGCTGCGGCCGCGGGCGCAGCGCTGCCCGGCCGTTGCTCCGAGGAAAGCTGGACAGGGGGAGCCGATTTCGGTCGCCTCCCAGTCGTGGGCGGGCTCCATTACCACCAGGCCTGCCGAAGGCGGAGGCAGGGGGTAAGCAGAAAGGGTAAGGGAGAGGGGGGCAGGGGGTGGATGGAGAGGGGGGGCGGTGGAGATGGCGAAGGGAGGGGGACTAGGGAGAGGAATGGGGTCCAATCAAAGCGCAGGAAAGTGAAGTCCCAAGAGCAAATCTGCAGACGAGAACGAGCAATCAGTGCATCAGACTTCGAACGTCTTCTGCACACTAAAAACGCTGATCCGAACCATAAGCGGATATTCCAAAAAGGTGAGCTCGAGACAGAAAAGGAGATTCCAACTAGCTGGGACCTGGAAATCATGCCGGCCCTCCGCCCCTTCCCGACGTCCCCCATGCTGCTGCTGCTGTTCTCCCTCCTACCCCTCTACCCCCCCAGTTTCCGTTTTCATAGCTCTGTCGTGGGGTAGTTCTGCCCTGGGAGGGCGGCTTGGGACGACCCCAGGGCCTCCAAGAAACTCTCGACGGGGTGGCCCTGCCAGGGTAGTTCGGCCCATGGGGCCACACATCTTTTGCGAACCTGCAATGCGATCTGAAAGAATTTCCCAACGTTGCTGATGTGCTTGTTGTTTATCTCTCTCCCTCTCTCTATATAGACGTCTCTTGGGCTGTTCTCTCTCTCTCTCTATCTCTGTGTTTCTCTCGTTCACCCCATCCCCCGTAAAAGCTGGAGACGTTCCAATGAACAACGATCAACGACGATGCCGTCGCGTCGAAAAAACTTCGTTCGCGTCTCGCCGGTTTCCCTTTGTGTGATCCATCCCTCATGCCTCTGTCCACTCCAGCCCCCTCACCTCCCAATCCTCCGAATCTCAACCCTGCTCGACGCCCTCTTCCCGCTCAGAGGGCTCGCGGCCTCGGCAGCCTCCAAGACTTCGGCAGCCGTCATGCTCATGGGCGCCCTTTTGGGAGGAGAAGGAACAGCTGCAGAGAAGGAGGATGGATACGGGGATGATGGGGGATGGATGAGGCTGGACGAGGATAGGGTAAGGATGGTGATGGAGATGAGAAGAAGGAAAGAGGGGGAGGAGGTGAAGGAGGAGGAGGAGGAGAAATAGGAGGAGGAAGAGGGGGAGGACTAGTGTAAACCCAAGAGTCATCAACGATGTTGGAATAAATCCTACCTCCAAGCTCCCTCTTCATAGGCACCAACAGCGGTTCACTTCCACTGAGGGAACTGCTTCGTTGGTAGACAACCGTTTGAAGAACCTGAAATCACGGATCAACCTGATTGTCGCGACTTGACGATGCAACATCGTGCCAAAACGCCCTTCCCGGGACTGTAACACCGCGAATCAACGTAACGGCTGCGCCCTCATGATCCTGAATCTCTCCCAAACACCATGTCTGGTACGCTGACCATGGGCATCCGTGAAACTCTTCCAAATATGAGAAAAATGAATGTGCGCGGCGCTAAAGCATCCGTGAAGCTCTTCCAAAATTGTAAAGCGAGTGTGCGCGGCGCGAAATCGAGAGCCACATTTTGAAAACGACCCGCCCTCCATCTGTGAAACTCTTGCAACGGTGTTAAACGAATGTGTGCGGCGCTGAGGCGAGAAACAAAGTTTAAGCTTCAGGGTCATGAGTGACAAGGAAGTCTCAAGCGAAACGCCCGGCCCGCCCTAAAAACTGACCTCGGGGTGCGACAGGAAGAAAGTTACGAAGAAGGAAAGGGAATGGAGGAGGAGGAGGAGGACCAATGTAAAACCAAGAGGCACCAACGATGTTGGAGTAAACCTTCCCTCCAAGCTCCCTCTTCATAGACCCCTTACAACGGTTCATTCCCATTGATGGCACTGCCTCGTTGGAAGACACTCATCTGCAGACCCTGAAGCATGCCAGAACATTGCCCTCGGGATTCCAACGCCACGGATCAACCTGACTGTTGCGTCTTGGCGATCCGGAATCGAGCCAGAACGAAATCTAGGACTTCAACACAGAGTATCAACATAACTGTTGCACCCGCATAATCCTGAATCCCTCCCAAACACAACTTCTGGTACGTTGATGATGGGAACCCGTGAAACTCTTGCAATTGTTTAAAACACATGTGCGCGGCGCTAAAGCGAGAGCCACATTTTGAAAAGGAACCGCCCTCAATCCGTGAAGCTCTCTCGCAAAATCTTGAAAACGAATGTGCGCCGCGCTGAAGCGAGAACCACATGTTGAAAACCACCCGCCTTCAATCCGTGAAACTCTTGCAAATTCCTAAAGCGAATGTGCGCCGCGCCGAAGCGAGAGACACATTTTGAAAACCACCCGCCTTCAATCCGTGAAACCCTTGCAAATTCTTCAAGCGAATTTGCGCCGCGCTAAGGCGAGAGCCACATTTTGAAAACGGCCCGCCCTCAATCCGTGAAGCTCGTGCAAATGTTTAAAACGAATGTGCGCCGCGCTAAGGCGAGAGGCACATGTTGAAAACCACCCGCCTTCCATCAGTGAAACTGTTGCCAATGTGTAAGCTTCAGAATCATAAGCGGTGAGGAAGTCTCAAGCGAAACGCCCGGCCCGCCCTGAAAACTGGCCCCGGGGTCCGACATGGAGAAGCAATATATAAGGAAAAAGAATGGAGGAGGAGGAGGAGAAGGAGGAGGAGGAGGAGGAGCAGCAGGAGGAGGAGGAGGAGGAGGAGAGGGAGAAGGCAGAGGGTGAGAGGCGTATGCGGGATGGAAGAAGGAGGTTCAGAACGGAGAGGGGGGAAGAGCGGGATGGGGAAGAGGAGGACGAGGAGGAGGAGGAGGAGGACCAGTGTAAACCCAAGACGTATCGACGATGTTGGAATAAGCCGTCGCTCTAGGTTCCCTCTTCAGAGGCCCCTACAAGGACTCATGTCCACTGAGGGAAGTGCCCAGTTGGGAGACAACCGCTTGAAGATCCTAAAACGCGCCAAAACACCATTCTCGGGGCTCCAACGCCACGAACCAACCTGACGGTTGCCTTTTGACGATCCTAGATCGTACCCCGTTCCTAGGGGTGCACCACCACGAATCAACGTAACTGTTGCGCCCTGGCAATTAGGAATCCGTCCAAAACGCCCTTTTGTTAAGTCAACCATGGACACCAAGGAAATTCTAGACGCTTCGCGTATCCCCACCAGTTTTCTGGCTCTGCCGCCCTGGGCGCTGCCCCCCCCCCGCCGCCTGATCCGCGGCCCCCGCGCGCGCTCGGTAATTTAGTCGCGGCCGTAGCCCGCCCGCGACCGCCCGCCGCTGGCGCTTCCGCCTGCGGCTGTAAAAAAAAAATATCCCCAGCAGCCGGCCGCAGCCCGACCGTGACCCGCCGCCGCTGGCGCTTCCGCCTGCGGCTGTAAAAAAAAGTATCCCCACCAGCCCGTCCAGAAACGACGCCCAGGCGAGTAGAGGGTCGTCCTGAGGGGCTTTTCGGCGTCTTGGGTGCCTCGGGGGAGCCTCTGTGGGCCGTTCGGGATCCTCTTTGGGGCCTCCTGGGGGCCTCTTGGGGCCTCTTGGGGCCATCTTGGGGCCTTTGGGGGCATCCTGGGCGCTTCTTGGGGCCATCTTTGCCCCTTGGGTGCCTCTGGGGGGTCTCTTGGGACCTCTTGGGGGTCTCTTGGGGGCCTCCTGGGGGCCTCTTGGGGGGCCTCTTGGGGCCATCTTGGGGCCATCCTGCGGCCTCTTGGGGCATCCTGGGGGCCTCTTGGACCCGTCTGGGCGCCCTTGAAGGCCCTGCTGGGGCGCTCTTGGGGCAATCTTGGAGGACATCGGTCAAGGAAGTAGGGTTCCTTAATTAGAGCCCCCCCCCCAGGAACTCCAAAAATCGTCTCCTGTACCGCTCTGGGACGGCTCTTGGAGCGCTCTTCGGCGCTCTTGGCGCCGTCATGGGGCTTTCTTGGGCCCTACTTGGAGCTATATTGAGCCATCTTGGAGCCATCTTGACGCCTCGGATGTGCATCGCAAGCGAAAAAGTGAGAACACCAAAAACATTGATTTTCCATAGGGTTTTGAAGCATTTTCGCCTCTTGGATGCATCCTAATGATGCTCTTGTGGGCACTTGGAACCGTCTTGGGGAGTTCTTGGAACGTCTTGGAACATCATGGGGACCATCTTGAGGCATCTTGCGCTATCTTGAGCCATCTTGGAGGGTATCTTGGGCTCCCTGAGGCCCTCTTGGAGCCGTCTTGGGCCATCTTGGGCGCTCCAACGCGCCGCGGAACCCCCTGTCCAGGTCAGTGGGGAGGGGGTAGGGGGAGGGGTTTACCCCTCCCCCTACCCCCTCCCTAGGGAAAATCAATGTTTTTGGTGTTCTCACTTTTTCGCTTGCGATGCACATCCGACGCGTCAAGATGGCTCCAAGATGGCTCAAGATAGCTCCAAGAGGGGCCCAAGAGAGCCTCAGGATGGCGCCAAGAGCGGCCACGAGCGCTCCAAGAGCGATCCAAGAGGGGTCCAGGAAGCGATTTTTGGAGCTCCTGGGGGGGGGCTCTAATTAAGGAACCCCACTTCCTTGGCCGATGTCCTCCAAAATTGCCCCAAGAGCGCCCCAGCAGGGCCTTCAAGGCCCCAAGAGGCCCCCCAAGAGGCCCCAAGGAGGCCCCCAAGAGACCCCCAAGAGGCCCCAAGAGACCCCCCAGAGGCACCCAAGGGGCAAAGATGGCCCCAAGAAGCGCCCAGGAGGCCCCCAAAGGCCCCAAGATGGCCCCAAGAGGCCCCAAGAGGCCCCCAGGAGGCCCCAAAGAGGATCCCGAACGGCCCACAGAGGCCCCCCCGAGGCACCCAAGACGCCGAAAAGCCCCTCAGGACGACCCTCTACTCGCCTGGGCGTCGTTTCTGGACGGGCTGGTGGGGATACGCGAAGCGTCTAGAATTTTTGTTTAACGAATGCGCGCGGCGCTAAGGCGGGAACCACATGTTGAAAAGAGCCGCCCTCAATCCGTGAAATGTTTGCAATGTTTTATGCGCATGCGCGCGGCGCTAGAAAGAAGACCGCATTTTGGAAACGGTTCGCCCACAAGCCGCGAAACGCTTGAACGTCTGCACAGTTTTCTTAAATTAATTCCGCCGGCCCCCTTGTGGGGCCACCAGGCTGCGAGGCACGGGCTCGCAGTTTCCAGTACCAGTTGTAGCTTGTAGTTTCCAGTGTTACAGTTCTGCTTCTTGCTGGTTACTGTAACTAGTTGATTGACCGCGCGAGGAGGGGGAGGCCCAAACGGGATTTTTAGCGTCTCCTGGGCGCGTTGTCTGAATTGCTGGGGGGGCTCGAAATCGCCACCCCTCACGCAGATCCGCGGGGTCAGGGTCCAAAAACACATGGGATTTGCCACATTTCTGAAATTCGGTGCCACCCCTCACGCAGATCCGCGGGGTCAGGGTCGAAAAACACACGGGATTTGCCTCATTTTTGAAATTCGGTGCCGCCCCTGACGCAGATCCGCGGGGTCAGGGTCCAAAAACACAGGGAATTCTACATTTCTGAAATTCGGTGCCACCCCTCACGCAGATCCGCGGGGTCAGGGTCCAAAAACATATTGGATTTGCCACATTTCTGAAATTCGGTGCCACTCCTCATGCAAATCCGCGGGGTCAGGGTCCAAAAACATATTGGATTTGCCACATTTCTGAAATTCGGTGCCACCCCTCACGCAGATCCGCGGGGTCAGGGTCCAAAAACACAATGGATTTGCCACATTTCTGAAATTCGGTGCCACCCCTCACGCAGATCCGCGGGGTCAGGGTCCAAAAACACAGGGGATTTGCAACATTTCTGAAATTCGGTGCCACCCCTCACGCAGATCCGCGGAGTCAGGGTCCAAAAACACATGGGATTTGCTACATTTCTGAAATTCGGTACCACCCCTCACGCAGATCCGCGGGGTCAGGGTCGAAAAACACATGGGATTTGCTTCATTTCTGAAATTCGGTGCCACCCCTCACGCACATCCATCGC